AGGAAGCAGGCAGCTTGTTTGCAGTTCAATGGAAGGTTCTTGTCTTCGTCTCTTCCTAGTCCGTACATTATTGATGTCGGCGCTCCCACAGCGCGTCATCTTAGACGAGGGTCACAACATCAGAAACCCCAGGACGAAGATGGCCAAGTCTGTGTGCGCGCTTAACGCTGAGCGACGCTGGGTATTGACTGGAACACCAATAGTAAGCCCAGTATACTGACTCTGACGGATTTCGGCTAACTTCTTTCATGCAGATCAACTCTCCCCAGGTGAGTATTTAGCTTTGGGTCATAACAAGTTGATATTTAATATCCCTCTAGGACTTGGGTTCCATCCTTACGTTCCTCAGAATATGTAACCCTCTTGATAATCTCGACTTTCAGACTCGGTTACTGCTCCGCCCACTGAAGAATGGCGACCCATCTGGGGCAGAATTACTCCGCGTGAGTGATGTAGAGCGACGAGGGTCTTTGCTCCCATCTGAATATTCGTATAGGCCATCATGTCACAGATTTGTATTCGGCGTACAAAGGAGGTGAGTAAAACAAAAGGGTTTAAGTTGATATCCCTTAATTGACTGTGATGTAGATGCAAGATAGCAACGGGAACTTCCTTGTCCCATTACCAGGGGTGTGTCAAGTTACTTGTTTGGCAAAGTAAACGATTTTCATCACGCTCTAGGTGGAAATGACAGTCGTCCCCGTTACTCTGAATCCTGAGGCGAGGGTACAGAATCGCTCTTAACTGTCGAACTCTTTCTAATCACTGCGTTAGGAGCTATACGACATCATCGAACAATTGTCCAAGGACCGTATCGAAGGTCTCCTGAAACAACCTCAATCCACCTCTGTACGATGGATGTTATTTCTATGTTGTCGAGACTACTTACGTGTCATCAGTTCTCAACCAACGCTCTGAGCATGCTTACTCGCCTACGCCAGCTAGCACTTCATCCCGGCCTAATCCCAAGTGACTATATAGAACAGCTGCGACGCACGGAGGAAGACAGCAACGATCAGACGGTACAACTCACACCAGAGGAGAAGGCGCGCGTACAAAGGCTGCTCTTACAGGCGATTGAGGACGAAGAAGAATGTCCCATCTGTTTTGGTGTGCTTAGTGATCCCCGGATCACCGCTTGCTCGCATTGGTTCTGCTTAGCCTGGTGAGTCGAGGCGATTTCATATGGTGCAAAAGCTCAACTGGAACCAGTATTACGGAGGTAATCTCTCGTGACGCTAGGTGTCCTATGGATCGCCGCACTATCGGCATGGGCGATCTCATAGAACCCCCTCCGCCGACCGACCTAACACAAGCACCCATCCGCGATGAGGAAGAGGATCTAGACGAGGCGGCCACCACCCTGCGCTCAGGGTCTTCTGCAAAGATAGAGCAGTTGACACACCTCTTGAGACTGACACCACAGAAGGAAAAATCTCTGGTCTTCTCTCAGTTCACCAGTTTTCTGGATAAAGTACGCTCCCTGTCTTAGTGCCATTGGAATGATTGGATGACTCACTACTGACGGCTTGTTCGAAAAGATCGCAGAAGGCCTCGATAAAGAGGGGTCAGGATCTCATTGCGGCTCGGCCCTCTATGATTCACTCACTATTTCCTTACAGAATCCCATATGTCCGATTCGATGGTACGATGTCTGCGAGACGGCGACAAGAAACGATAGAGGCATTTTGTGTCCCGATCGAAGACAGTACGGGGGAGATTGCTGATGTTGACCCCACTCCAGTTGCTTCGGCGTCTGATGTACAGCCGACGAGACGTAGTGTGCGGTCCTCACGCCGCAGGGGGTCCGAGCTCGTGGACGGCGAACAAGATGCTGGGACTATGTTTGTCAGCGACGACGACGATATGTTCGTGCCGCAGGTAGATGTCATCAGCGACGACCACGACGACCACGACGACGACAGCGCCCCCACACGGAATAAAAAGGGCAAGCGCAAGGCTAAAGGCAAGCGAAAGGCAACGGCTCAGACCCTTTTGGAGGACGACATTGCCCCATTCCGGACGCCCGCTACTAATGGGGTCAACCCCAAAGTCATGCTCATCTCGTTGAAAGCCGGCGCACTTGGGCTTAATCTGACGGTTGCAAATAATGTCTATCTGTGAGTGTATCCATGGATGGGTGGCACGGGTTATGCTGACCTTCGAGTAACTAGTATGGATCCGTAAGTTTAGAAAGAGTAGCACTGAGATACCCTGGCTAATTTCTTCTGCGCCAGTTGGTGGCAAGAAGGCATTGAGAGTCAGGCTATCGATAGGTGCAATAGGTAAGAATACAAAAGCTCTGTCGTGGGTAGTCCGATACAAGCGCCTTCTAGGATTGGCCAGAAAAGAAAAGTTCACGTCTACCAGCTCATTGCCGAGAACACTGTCGAGGCAAAGGTCAGCACATTTACTGTCACATGTATTAAGTCACCCTCATCGACGAACTGTCTCTAGGTGTTGGATATCCAAGAGAGGAAAAAGAAACTGATCACAGAGGTGACAATGAATCGGCGTCTTGCTGTCAACGTCGCACTGACCCCACACCGTAGGCATTTTCGGGCATGAAAAGAAAGGAAACACCCCGTCAGAAGAAAGAGGCTAGGTTGCAAGGTTTGATGTCTTCCTCTTCCGCCCGGAGGCACTTCTGACACATGTATAGACCTTATCGAAATCTTTGGCATACGAAGACAAACTGTCGGTTAAACCAAACTATTGCTCAAGCGATTGTTCCCAGTCCTGCACGGTGATACGTCCGATACCTTTACTTGTAATTTACGATTGGGTACGAACTTTTTCAGTACGAAATAATACTCCCCACCGGATATCATACTTGTAAAGCCTTTAAACAGCAAGTTTAACGTATTGCATTTGCTCCAAAGTCTCGCCAGGAGATACAAGTGCTGTTGAATTATCTGCAGGGTTTCTGCAAAGCACAGTGCTGTTGGCTGCTGACGAAAGCCTGTATTATAACGAATGACACTCCGTGTTCCGCTACTACATTAACTTACGGTAATCGTGTCGCCTGCACACTACACACCAAGTTTGTCCAATCGGGTTGTCAGTGCGTCTATCCGCTCTTCCAAACCAGCCACGTTCCCTTTCACGACGCGTCCATTCTCAGAGAGGCTCCCGTCAACCCCTTCGATTGCCTGAGTTAGAGCATCAAGCGCTTCACGCGACTGACGTTGCTCCTCCTCCAAAGCGGACAATGCATTGGCGAATTGTGCCGCTGAGGCGTGCAAGGTCGCGAGCGTGCGCAAGCGCGCGAGGATGTGGGGGATCTGCGGAAGCGCGGGCACAAGACGGGATAGTGCCGGCGCAAGCTGCTCCTGGAGAGATGCGGGGAGAACGGCGGGCGTGTTCGTCGCGCCGTCGTTCTCTGCAGCACCGCCGCGTCTGTGTTGTTGGTTTGCGGCCGCAAGTCGATCGAGATCGGAGAGGAGCAACTTGAGACGGCGCGAAATGTTATCTATGTGTCGAGGTTGTGCGAGCACGGTGAGCTGTGTGTTGAGTCTGGTGAGAAGCGGCAGAAGGGGCGCCGGCATGGCTGAGCTCTACACGAGTGTTCACTTTGCATGGTACCTTTCATGAGACTGAGAGGAAATAGACGCACTTCGTCAAGCGACGTGCTAGCTGAGCCGACGAGCTTTTCCAACTCTCCGACACGTCGGTCCATCTCTGAGATGCTCTTGGCAGTCTCGGGTGTCTTGTGCGAGGCCTTCGCTTCCTCACCATCCGCGCTCGCGTTCTTGTCAAGAGTCGTCTCCGCAGCCTGGTCAGCCGGGGACGGATCTCGCAGCACATCTTGGACGAGCCGTGCTCGTCCTTCGTGTCCCGCAGAGAATTTAGCCAGTCGGGCTTTGACATCGACGAGACCCTTGAGGAGGTCCCCCGGGTCGATCTGGCCCTGCTCGCGGTCACGAACGAGAAGTGGACTTGCGGGATCGGCAAGTTCGGACTCGAGAGAGGTGAGCTCGGATTGTAGCAACTTTAGGCGGAGAGCAAGAGAGGGCGGGTGCGTCGGAGTTGGCGATGGCGTGCGTGAAGGTGGGTACTTGTACAGAGATCGTTCGCGTGTCCCTACGGCGACGGGTAAGTTGGACGCAAGCAGTGGGGGAAGCTACAGACGCTTGCGCTCTGCGCGCCGAAATCGTTTACTGGCCTCGGTAGGATCAACAAGGCTGCTCTCGTCAACTCCTTCTGTTGCATTATGTTCGGCCACCTTGCGAGACCGTGACGGAAGCCCTTCGTCGTCGCTTGAATCGTTATTCTGTTCGCAATGTTATCCTGAGTTGTTCCCGAGGTGACCAGAAACTCACGTCGTCTCGAACGGATTGAAATGTGTCCTCGGTTTCGTAGACATCTTTCCCAGAGGAGTCCTGTAGTCGACGACGACACAACTTATACAGCCAACCGGCGAGCTCGACAAAAAGCAGACACGCACGATGTCTGGCAAATTCGAGTATTTGTGCGCACTCATGGGGGATTGCAGGTGTTATGCGCAAGGGAAGTGAGGTGAGGTGAGATACAGTCGCGAAAGATGGGCAACGCGAAATCGGTTCGGTAAAAGTGCGCGGAAACGTGAGACGAGAATCGGCACAGGTGTAATAGGCGAGTTGGAGTTCACGCGAGGTTATCAGGCAAATCGTTTTCGAGAACGAGAGATGGGTGATATTTCATTCAAGACGTGAGAGTCAGGGGTTATGTAGACGGGACATGGTACACAGGTGAAGTACAATAGTGAGGCAGACACAAAGGTACTACAATGCGAACACAGCTATTGAGTCGCCAATGGGCCGAAACTCGGTATCGTGGCCAAAGCCCTTGTGGATCGTGGCCGAGTCGTCGTGGACGTACCAACCAGCTGACACATCGAACGGTAGTGGTTGATTTAGCGTGTTTGCGCACGCATGCGTGGTCATTGGAATCGACATGAGAATGGTCAGATCAAGATGTGATGCGACACCAAAGCAGCGATAAAAAGTCTGCAAAAAAGTCGTCACCTGAGCGATTCGAACACTCGCGGGCAAAGCCCAACCGCTTAATCTGCATATTAGCAGGCGATCCCGTTAACCACTCCGGCAAAGTGACGTGGTAAATCTACTCGCTATAAAATATACAATGGGTCATCGCCGTCTGACTGCCTCATCAACAGCGATGACCACAAGTCACCTGCATAAAGGAGGCAGCAGAGACACGTAAGATAAACTCTATTTACTACATTCTACCATATGGCCGACTCGCACTTTACATCGCAATGTGCCTGCGTGTGAAAGGTCGCACTTGCATACAGAAACGGTGACCCCTTGTCAGGGGGATGTGGCGTCGGGCCCCTCATCCTCATCCCCGGCCATTGATCCTTTCTCGAACAGAAATGAAATGGTGCCGCCTGGGACCTCGTCGATCTCGAGTTCTGACCCCAGACGTGAAACGTTGTCCAGATCGACAGCGTCAAGAAGAGTCGATATGCGACTCTTTGATGATTCACCCGAAGGGGCCACTTGTGGTATTTGTGGAGATGGCGATTGGGGGAGTAAACCGCAGAGAATCTGATCATGCACACGTTCGCTAGCGTCTGGCCTTAAGCAGTTGATGTGTGTCCACTCGCCCAGTGCAGCGAGCTCCGCTTTTTTCTTCTTCAAATACTAATGAACGTGTCACCCCGAATCCTTGTATCATACAAGGGGAGTGCTTACTGCTTTATCCGCTTGTTGAGAGTCAACTGATTTGACTTGTGATGCAACGATAAAGCCAGGTGCGGCTCCTGCACTGGACCTGATGCCATCATCTATACTTGTATCTATCATGGGCATGGCATCGACATCGTCTGACGTCTCTGCATGATCGCAGAGGCAGTCCAAGAGGTCGTGACTGTGACAGGCGGTCTTAGGGTGAATAGTGAAGATATCGCGTAGCTACAGGTGCTTTTGTCAACCTTAATCTAGACCATAAGTTTCGTGTCTCTCACCTCTTTGGGACTGAATGAGTCAGACTTAGAGTCAGACTTCCCTCCAATCAACGCTGAGACAGAGAGATGTCAGCCTGGTCAAGTGTGGAAGTTGGAAGAATTAAGGGACGCACTTCTACTCAGTCCCAGCTTAGTGATTTGACGCTGATAGATCTTTTCTGAATTCAGTGCATTGGCGTCAGGTATCGGCCTTCCATAAGTCGATCCGACCCACCATCGATTGTCCCTGCTGTCAGAAAGCGGTATATGTAGACACTTCGCTTCTGCCCGTCACTATGGCGAAAGTCAGTCCCGACCACAATCGCAATGACGAATGTTTGTTACGAACCGATGGATACGCGCCATTGACTGAAGGTCGTGACTAAAGCACTAGTGTCAATGAACTTTACCTAACGGATGATAACGTCGTACCTTGGATTCCAGTCAGAATCAATGAGACACAATCTCGAAGCGCCTACAAGGTTGAGTCCGACGCCACCCGCTTTAGAGCTGAGGAGAAAGAGGACTAATTGAAAAAAAATGTGTGGTCTAATAGAATCGGGAGGAAGCTAGCAGACGCACAGCAACGCTCTTGAGAAGATTTGTTGAACGCATTCACATGCTCAGATCTTTTAGCTGTAGGCGTCGACCTGGGGATAACAAGGAGTCATCATCAGTGCGATCAATAAATATGAAATACTCACCCGTCCAACCGAAGGTAGCTGTATGACTTTTTCTTGCAGAAAGCTTCCAGGATGTTGAGAGTAGACGTGTAATGAGAAACAACGATACACTTCTCATCTGTATGCTGTAGAGCGGCCGGTCAGTGCGTGTAGATGAAGGGAAGACTAAGAAAAGCGGACTTTTTTAATTGCTCTCAGAAGGTTTGCAAGAGCCGTCAGTTTCCCTGATCCGACTAGTCAGCTCCTTCATCACCACGAGTAATCAATTCTGGACCCACCACTCAGCGAAACGTCTTCAACTCGGGCGCGCTCAGGAAGAAGTTTCACGGCCTCTTCAACGACCGTGGTTCTCTCGACGCTGTCTTGCCCGCTGATCTTTGCCTTCGCCTTATCTGCAACAGCCTTGAGAAGGATGGGGCTGTTGCTTATCTTTGTAAGGATGTTAATTAGTGCGAGTGACTCGGCCGTGCTATGTTCAATGATGTTGTCCAGACGATCGGGGTTCAAGATCTTGGAAAATATTGATAATTGTAGCGCGGTTGGAGTAACAAAAACAACATATTCGTCTTGCACGTATATGAGCAAGCGCCTGGGGTATCTCGGGCGCGCTCACATTTGGGTGGCAAGAAGCGTTTCAGGATGCTTGCGTCGCGTCGGAGTACGAAGCTGCGAGATATAGCAAGAAGCTAAAAGACAGGGGTCAGGCTTCACTGACAGAATAGAAGGGTAAAAAAGTACCTGCGCCGAACGACTCTCGCCTAGTTTTGCTTCTTTCTCGGAGCATCCTGGTTCACGACTACGGATAATGGAGGTCTCGTAGACGCGACGAAAGGTGGAGTATTCATCTACAAGACCGTCAGAGAGATGACCGATTTGGAAAATTCGGTCGAACCCAATAGTCCGGGATTGCAGAAATCAGCCTAGACAACCGCCGAAGCCAATGTCAACAGACAATTACTGGATTTACTGTTCTTTACCATTGCGTGGAACTCGCCGAGATCATTTTGAATCGGCGTTCCGGAAAGAATTATCCTTCTTGGGGTCTTTAGGACCCCAAACATGGTTGACGTCTTGTTATTGACGGACTTAAGACGGTGGCCTGCTATTACTCAACAGAGATTCGGCGAACTCAGCCCATGAACTACGCACCTTCATCTGCGACGATAAGACCGATGGGTGGGCTAGTATGTGTCATTATGTCGTGCAATCTGGATTAGTGACAAGACTTACATGCAGTAAACCAGATCGGCGCTTGTTAGTAGAGACTCAGCATGACCCCAAGACCAGCAGCTTCCTGATGACTCACACTACGGTACGTAGTCGCTCATAACCTATGAGAAGGACTTGGTGGATTTTTCTATGGCAGTCAACAGCTTGGATAAATTGCGTTGTGGAATGGTTTTAAACTGACGAATTAACAAACTGTCTGATCGCCGCCTTCCCCTTATCTGCAGTGAGCACACCGACACGGTCACGCCCCAACCTACCGAGAAATCAGACCTATAAAGGTGCGCAACTCGAAGGGGGCATACCACTTCTGGAACTCGCTCTTCCAATTCTAAAAACGACTGTTTATACTAGATCAGTATTTCGTGACAGTATCACTTACGTTAACGAGGGTGACAGGGCAGACGATAAGAACTTTCCCAACAACGGGGCCCGCGCCTGCATATGGATTCTGCTCTGTACGAGAGTTAGCAGTACCGAATTATAAATTGGACGACAACGTGCTTAGCAATGTCCAGATGAGGGTAATCGTCTGAAATATTATCAATTGCAGAAACCTCAGTCAAAGTGACCGCACGAACCTGGAGGGTTTTTCCCAATCCCCTATTGAATCACAACGCCCTCAATATTTGCGGAAGTCACAGAAGATGAGATACTGCACATTTCATCAGCAAGGATGCACCCTTGACCCTCGTGCTTTCGGAGTCCCATGACACATTCATACATGAACTTGACACCTAAGTCTGTGTGTGAGAAATAGCCCCAGGCGCCTGATCAGTATGCGAGCCGACCTTCTACCTGATGCGGTCTTAACCGGCGCGCCAGGATTGGATCTATGACCACGGGTACGATTGGTAAAGATCTGGAAAGTTTTGTAAATGTGAGTGTAGGATCTTAGAGAGAACCTCACTTTTTATTGAATCTATTTGAATGTTCTTCGCCAGGCGCTTGCATTACGACTGCCCCTTCGGCTCCAGGATCATGCCCATGCCTGACCGCTGAGATAAGCAAGAATAGAACCCGTCAGTCTACAGTAAGCTAGCGCTCACAGTGGATTATTTGCTCTAGGCTTCGGCGACGGCTTTGCGTAGAATGTCGTTGGGGGGATATATCTCACTCCCGATGAAGCTGAGTTCTTAATAGGTGATGCACCACCCTCTGTAGGACCAGCAGAGAACTGGTCGTCGATTATCTCTATATCGTCCGATGGTTGATTCTCCTGCTCTTCTTCCATTCCTAGCGACGACCCAGTAATTTTAGGGAATTCTGAGTGAGCTATACGAGAATCGATCTCTATCTCCAACCCGCCTATGAATGTCTTTAGACCACAAGTAAGGCGCAGGTTCTCGAAAGGTTTTCGTCCAAGGCTGCCAAGTAGATGTATCCCTTTTAGTCAAGTGGGGAAAGAGATTTCCGCCTCACATTTTCCCGCGCTCAGAGACAAGGACTAGAGCTTTTCCTTGCCTAGTAACGTAGGCGTCCCCATCCCAAGTCTTATGCTTCTTGTGCTGCGGCTTTCTCCTGTGGAATGTGCTCGTCAACGTTGCTACAAAGAGGGTAAGGGCATTACCAATTAGCAGTCCAGTATGATTGTGAATCATCATTGCCTCCTGACTGTCCCTTTGATGACGATGCTGATGGCCCCGACAGTAAGCTGACGGGTTCTAGGTCGATGACCTTTCTTTGGGAAACAGAAGACTCGGGCGCAGTTGGGGGGCGAACGGTAGATGGGTTGAGCGCTACCGGCCTCAGTGGGACAAATTGCCTGGAAAGAGAGACGGAGTTCGTCAAAGGCAATGGTGCATCGCTCGTGCCACCGCGACCGAAACAGGCTCCAGAAAGATACTCTGAGGGTTGCATGGCGCGGTCAATCTCAAGTTCCTTGTTGCCCACGGTCAGTTGGACGCCACTCTCAAGCATATTGGAGCCAATTTTCCCAGCGGTAAGCCTAGAATGCCGATATTAATTTCGGGTCACAAAGTAGGAAATCAGACGCATACATGCGACCTTCCAGGTCCATGAGAGCGGCCTTTGGCTTGGTCACAACGAGGACCCCATCCCCCTCCCATGTCTTGTGCTTCTTCGCCTGAGGGGCTCTCCTTCATAATGGCCCATTCAATTGCTGCTAGGAGATCCCTGGAGGACACATACCATTGAACCATCCAATATTGTGTGTCCCCGCCTGATCCATTTGGAAACGCGGCGCCTGAGGCACGCCTTTTGCTGTTGGCAAT